CCAAGATATGGAAACATCCTAAATGTCCATCAAGCAGATGAATGGATGAAAAAGATGTTGTATATATATACACAATGGAATATTATTCAACCATGAAACAGGAGGACAGCCTACAATTTGCAACAACATGGATGGACCTTGAGCACATTACGCTAAGTGAGCACATTATGCTAAGTGAGGTAACTCAGACAGAGAAAGACAAGTACTGTATGATATTACTTATATGTGGGATCTAAAGAAAGTCAAACTTCGGGACTCCCCTGGCGGTCCAGTGGTTAAGATTCCACGCTTCCAATGCAGGGGGTGTGAGTTTGCACCCTCGTTGGGGAACTAAGAATCCACATGCCGTGTGGCACAGTCAAAAATAATAAAATAAAAATAAATTTAAAAGTCAAACTTCTAAAAATCAGGGTAAATGCTTGTTATGAAGGGATGGGGGTAGGGAAATATGACTGATGTTTAAGGCTACAAACTTGCAATGAGTGGCAAATTAGCCATAGAGATCTAATATACAGCATAACGAATATAGACAATAGTGCAATATAATTATGTAATGTGATAAATATCACTACAATGGCAATCATATGGCAATATATAAATGTATCAAAGTAACACACTGTATACCTTAAATTAACACGTTATATGTCAAGTATATTTAATTTTTTAAAAATATCAAGGAACAATAAAAAAATGAATTATAGGGGCTTCCCTGGTGGCGCAGCGGTTGAGAGACCGCCTGCCGATGCAGCGGACACGGGTTCGTGCTCCGGTCCGGGAAGATCCCACATGCCGCAGAGCGGCTGGGCCCGTGGGCCATGGCCGCTGAGCCTGTGCGTCCGGAGCCTGTGCTCCGCAACGGGAGAGGCCACGGCAGAGAGAGGCCGGCGTACCGCAAAAAAAAAAAAAAAAAAAAGAAAAGGATTATATTCTGTCTTCATGGGGAGAATAAAAACCCAGAAAACATTAGGACCAAGGCAGCTGTTCTCTCTGGCTCACTTGGTCTCTCATTTCCAAATTTCCAGGGTAAAAAAATCTGATTGGTATTAGTATAGGTTATGGGTCAATGTTCAGCCAATGGATTGGCTACATTTGTATCGGGTCCCCACCAGCGTTGATTCCATGGCCAGATGAAAGGTCATGAGGCATGCAGGACTGCTTACTTCAAGGGCTATGCATATAGGTACTTGAAAACATGTCTATTATACTTACCAGATGTTTGATGCCTTTCTGATTTTATGAAGTTGTTAAATTTGCATGATTCTATGGTGTTCCAAAAGACAGAGCAACCTGGATGCTTTCGATGGAAAAAATGTAGGCAACCCTTATTTAAACTGCTTCACAAAGCTGAGTTTCAACTGATATCCCCAATATACAGAATTTTATAGCCTTAGCTCTGAATATGATAACTTCAAGCCAAAGCACATGCAGCCAGTTCTTTTCACACAGGTCCCCTCCCTCATAGAGGAGTAGAGATAGGTCCTGATAGAGATGGGATCTGAGACCTTTCTCTCTTAGCGGATTACATGGCAGAAAACTCTACTCTGTTCTGCCATACATTACCTCACTTTTCCACACTGAACCTCTAGTCCATCTTTTTCTAATTACCTCCCAACATTACTGATTTTAATCTTTCATTGTTGGAAGTCAACTTCTTCCAAAGACTACACGGATTCATGACTGTTGGCTTTTCTTAGTGTGGGAGGCACTTCAGTAGTTGAAGGCACTATGGAGGCTAAGGTCATTACCATGACATGTATCTGATCCTTTAGGAGAGAAGGCTCATACACTATATAACTATACCACGGGGTAGAGAGTTTTAAGTGCCAAGGTAATACACTAAATCAAAAATCATCCTCTCCAGAGGCGGGTAAGATCAGGAAATTTTCAGAAAAGGCTTTACAGGTTTAATGGTTTATTTGGCTGGGCCTCTAAAGGCAGGGGAGGATTTGCATATTCAGAGAATGTGCTGGAGGTGGGATACAGCCAATTCTGCAATCCTGAGTAGAATTATTATTAAGCTCTAGCATCCTCTCCCAGGACAAGTTTATTCCACTGCTCTCTTTCCCTCATTTGCCACCTGCCTGTGTTTTAACATTCCTTTTAAAAACAAACAACACCTCCCCACCCCCAAGCAGTGTGTTTGTGGAGTTCTTATCTTAACTGCTCCCACCTCCTCCATAGGCATCCAAGAATGAGAAAAGAGACAGTGTTTCTGCTTCTTTCTTTTCCTTGCTTCCTCTGCTATTCTTTGTCAGAAATTCACTACTAGTCATTATGGGCTAATGTGAAAATAACAAACATTGGAAAGTTACAAAGTTTTCATAATCATGAAAGGTTCAGGTTGACTTCTTTCTGAGACAGTAATTTAAAAGTTCCCGTGGATTTCTGCTGTTTACTTTTGTTCTTGAGGATGCCCCACAGTCGGCTGAGCAGAGGCCCTGCTTCCCATCTCAATTTCCCAGCAGTTAGTTCCACCAAGGTAGTGTGGCTAGCAGGTGAAATGCTTCCCCTTCACAGGTAAATAATTTGCATTTCAATGGACCCTCGGGGTGGGAGACAATGGTTTCTACTCTTCACTGGAACTCTGGAATTGAGGCATTGCAATTTGCAAGTAAAGGGCACTTTTGTAGAGGAGAACTTTATTGGCAAAAAGAGTTAGGGTTTTGAGGGCAAAAAGCACAATCTTCAGAATCATTTGAGTAGTATTCAAGGGCAGAACATTGGTAGTGAAAAAATAGAAGCTGCAAGAAATTCCTTTCAAATTGTTTCTTGCTGAAAAGAAAAGCCTATAGATGGATATGGAGGGAGAAGGATGGTGGTGTTGCCAAAGTTCAGATATTTGTAAGGTGCAGGAAAAAAATTTTGAAGGAGAGGATGTAACACATGATCTAAGAGAGCAATTATAATCAATGGAGGAAAATTCTGGGGTGGGAGGATGGCCAATGTTTAGGAGCACAAGTGGAGTGTGAGCTTGGAACAGAAGGCTGTCACCCTTCTCAGCCAGGACTGAAGGAAGTGATGAAGTGTGAAAATTGAGACTGAGATTTAGGAAAGTTAAGTTGAGAAACCTCGTGGTGGATGCCTCAGTCAAGTAGGAGGCAAGATCACTTGCAGAACTGGAAGAAGACCAAGTAGAGTGGAGGCCTGAGGAGAGCAGAAATAGGACAGATATGGGAGAAGTGCCCTGAATAATGTCCTTAAATCAATATCCTGGATAATCACCCTCCTGATGAGGAAAGGAATTTAGAGAATCAGTGAAGACCCAGCCAAGTCTGGATAGCATAAACTTTTAGTGGAACAAAATGATTTCTTTATCCAGCAATGCTTGGTTGTAGAGGAGCAACTTCAAAAGAAACCTTTCACTGAAGCATGAGAATTACCAATAATAATAATAATAATGTTGATTGACAACATTTTAAGGGACATTTTTCATGGTGGATTTTAGTAACATTTTAATCATTACAAACATGAAATACACAATATCAAAATACTCATCAAACATGTGATCTGAGAAAAATGCAAAAAGAAAAGATTACTGGAGTAAAAAAATCAGTTAGTTCTTGTTTTCTTCTTTCTTTGCTAGCCTAAGGCAAGGAAAAAGGAAATATTAATGTTTTCCTTTCCACTCGACACATCTTCCATGATTATAAAAATAAAAAAAACCCAAGTCATTGGTATATTGTGAGTACATTAAATGAGTCTTATTTATAAAAATGTGCATTTTACTTTTTCTATTTTCCTATAAACAAACACCAAAAAGAAAGCAAAAGGAAGAAATTGAAAGCATGATGAGCTAATTTCCATGATGGCAAGGCATGAGACAGCACTCCAATTCTGATTTCTTCCCAGTTCTGGAAATATTTAGGAGGAACACTCATGTTCAGCTGTTTTGTTCCACAGTCCAACCCTGCATAGGATTATCAACGACGTACAATTTTACTACAAATTGTGAAAGATGTTTTTCTTTTCTTTTTTTTTTTTGAAAGATGTTTTTCTAATCAAGGTACCAGGTTAACAATTCTTATCTATTTTTGTAATTTTCAATTATGGTAAGATAAAAACCAAAAGCAAAGCATATTATCCAACTTAAAATTCAGGACAGTAGTTAGACATATGTAGCTTGCACACATATTAATCTGTTTCTCTCAACAAAATATTTGTAATTTCCAAAATCCTATCAGCATTTTCACACAATATGGTCCCTCCAACTTGAAGGGCAATAACATAAACACAGTCTTCTTTCTAAAGAAACTAGTATAAAAATGGCAAAATCACCAAAAAGAAGGAACATGAGAATATCAATGATTATATCATAGGCAATATGCTTAAAAGCCTAATATGTTCATGAAGTCCTACTTTAATAGCTAGTATCTAAATATGAAAGTTATTTACAAATAAAAATTGCTATTGACAAACTAGAACAAAGTGACTTTAAATGAAAGCAAAGCACTTGTAGTTAAAGCTCCAGATTTTTTGTGTGATTCCATGTCTCAGTTAATTTCTTTATCAAATTTAGAGATAAACTGGGAAATACCTAGAAAACAAAATCCATCAATTGTAATCTATTTCCTTTACTCTCTTGTGAAATTATCAGAAGACATGCAGGATCAACTCTATCACCTGTGTCTTTCCCAACCCTGTAAACTCTTAGGGGAAAGACCATGTACCTGTCAAGCTAATAGTGCAGAATGTACACACAGATGGGTGTTTAATAAATATCCTTCAATGGAGAGATTAGAGGTTTTCTCTGGGAAGGGGGGAACACCTTATGTCATGCATTGACTCAATGACATCCATCATACAACACGTCAGCCTGTTTCCTCATCAAAATATCATCCAAAGGAAATCATCTTTGAGTCTCCTTTAAGTCTTTAGACCCCAAATTTTGAGGCAAGATCCACCCCAGGGAAGGGGGAGTGGTTGGGAAGAACAAGTAGAATTCATGTGGATCAGTGACGTCAGGAAGAAGCAATGATTTAAAGGATGGGGTGCAAACTCACCTGGAGAAGCAGAAGCTGCACACATGTCAAAGTTCAAAGGGCAGAGGCTGAGGGACTCCCCAGTCGCAGGAAAAGTGAAACGCCCACTCCCAGGCTCTCAAGGATTCGTATAGGGGCTCAGCTGTCCCCGCCTTTGACGCGACGGACAAACCCTACCATGCACAGCTGCTGTTGCCAGGAAGGCAAAGCGAAAGCTGCCCCAATTTCAGAGCCAGCACTCGGGAATCCCCCGGTAGTTCTTTCCCCCACCCTCTCCCGCGCCCAAAGCCAGAGATACCTTCATCCTTACTCCTCACCGTTTCCAGGCCCTCTAGGTCTTAACGGCATCGGTCTCTATGGCGACCTGAAACCTCAGTTCCCATTGGTCAGTTCAATATGAGAGCCGGGCCAATGGGGAGGGCCAGCCTTTTCCTTCCTACCAATGGGATTGGCAGGGAGCAGGTCCGGAGACGGCGGCGTGCTGACGTTCCCGGGAGCCTGGGGCTGGCTGGGCAGGCGGGCTGGCGGCTGGGCGGGCGGCGGCGGCCTCTGGGCAGTAGAGGGGGCTCCGAGGCTGAGTCCGCGTCGACGCCGGCCGCGGAGGCGGCACCATGGGCAAGGGGTAGAGGGGCAAGTTGGCCACCGCCGCCGTCGGGGGTGGTGGGCGAGCCGCTTTGGGGTAGGGGGCGGGAGGGGAGGGAGGGGCGGGCAGTCAGCTCGGCCGCGGCACTTTTTTAATTTTTTCGGGTGCCGCAGCGGCGACCCCTCGGCGCCGATGTTCCTGATCCCCGGAGCGACGACGGCTGCTGCCTAACCTGGAAAGTAAGTGTGCGGGTTCGCGGGAGGGCGCGGAGAATCCTGCCCACGAGACCCCCGGCCCTCGCCCCGTCGCGCCGGAGCCAAGACCTGCCTGCGAGGGGCGCGGGGCAGGGAGGGAGGGAGACGGGGACGGGCGCCTCCCTCCCGTTACTCCGTCCCCACCGCCTCGCGGCCGCTTCGGCTTTCCTGCCCCGCCTCGTGTTTCTGCCCGCACTAGCCTGCCTGCTCCCCTCCCCCCGGCAGGCGCACAAGTTTCACCCTCCATTTGCTTTTCCCTGCGATTATTCTGCCCCGGTATCCCCTACATGCCGCGCACGACCCCTCCCCACGTTGGCCTTCTTGGATCTAGGGCCCCCAGCCCCAAACTTGAGTGCCACGCCGATCCCTCCTGGACGTCTGCTCGGAGGCTTCCCAGCTCCTGCCCGCCTGGCACTCTGCTCCGCGCCCCCAACACCCCTGGGCGCCCGCCTTCTCCAGCCCTCGGGGCTGTCCGTCCCTCTCTCCAGCCCCAACTCCCGCTTCTTGGCCCCCTCCCCTTCCTCCCACGTCCCTTCTGCCTGTACGGTCTTGTGTTTGCCCTCTGAGCCCCGCGCTCCTTGCCGGTCCTGCCCACCGCCCAGTCCAGTGCGCCCCTCTCCCCTCACCGCCTATCCTCACGCTCCACCCCTCCCGGTTCTCCAGCCCCAAGCTTCCCCGGCTGCCCTCTTGCGCTGCCGCTTCCTTCTCTCCCTGCCAGGAGTTGAAGAGGAGCTGCGGCACCCACCCACCCGCCCCCCCCTCCGGCGGAACGAGTGTCCCTGCCCGCCGCTGGGGCTGCTCAGGCCTCTCTTCTTTTCCCCCCCGGGAAGCGAGGGGGTGAGCGGCTGGGCTGAGATTTGGCTGCGTGTTGGCTGAGTGCGACAGCGAGCTCGGGCAGTAGAGGCGCCGCGGCGGCCGTGGCCGCGCGGGGCGCAGCAATAAGCAGGTGTGTGTGTCCGGGGGGAACGTGCACCGCGGGCTCCTCGGCTGGCGACAGATTGTGCAGGAATGCGAGGAATGCACCAAGGGCATAGTCCACACGACCCGCCGCGTCAGAACTAGCGCCTTCCCGGTCCAGCTCTCGCCGAGCAGCCAGAGGTCACCGGAGCATCTTCGGAGCTGGTGAGCCTCGCTCCACTCCTCTCCTCCCCTTGCTTTTCTCCATGCGGCAGAGAGGGCGGCGGAGAGGAAGCCCGGCAGTTCGGGCTTCAGATAGCCTTTCTTCTGGGATTTTGGTGCGTTGGTCTCCAGGACCGTGAATTTCGGGCCGATGGCGGTGTAGCCAAGGTTATAGATAATTGTACGAGGTTCTTGGCAAGTTTGGTTTGCAAGGTTTGAATAGTGCCTGACTTTTACGAGGGTTTTTTGAAAACCTTCAGGAAAGGGTGCCGAAGGTCTTAGAGTAAAAAGCTTGCAGCTAACGTAATTTTAGCTCTATCAAAAAATGTCTGTTAATGCTCATGGATGGGGATATAGTTCAAGAAGGAACTTGAATGCATCACTTTGCTGTCATAAAAATTGTATTTTTTTCCTTGCATACTGGGCTCTGTTGGGACCTCTTATAATACATAATGAATAGAAACAGAGAAGCAGTGTTTGGTCAGCGATGGGACAGATAGGACTGTCTGGCACAGTTCAATTCAGGGCGTGTCAGTTACCATTGGAAGTAACATGGGTACTACAAGATCATGTATATTTCAAGATGTAATTTATTAGTTGAGGTCACAGTTCTTTCTTTTTTTGTTCCCAAATTTGACCGAAAAATAAAAATACAGCTCTACAACTTTTAAAGAATGGTAATTATGTGTAAATCCGAAGTGCTTAGTATACAGTTTCAATCAAATTTTATTTTCCTTAATGCAGAAAAGCAAATTTTTGACAGAAGTTGCTTTTCTAGAATTGGGCTTAGATTCTCTTATTTTAAAAGGTAAAGTAGAAGACTGCTTCTCTTTTTGAATGTAGTATATTACTGTAGAAAGTATCCTCATTTCTGGTACCTGTGAAACAGTTGTGGAAAATGGTAACATGAAAATGAGAACAATTGATGTCCAAAATAAGTGTTTCTGGATTTGGAAAAGCATGCTATGTGTGCTTTTATTTGACACAGTTTTCTTTGGAGGTTGAATTTACTCTAAGCCTCTCCACACTTGGCTATTTTGTATCAGATTCAGGAAAATAATAAGCTGATTGTCCAGCTGTCTTCTAACACTACTGTGTAGGGATCAAGGGCGTTGAAAATATACGAGCCTTTTATTTACTTAAGAACCCAATGGAAAGGAAAAATAGAAAAGGAAAAAAAACTTTGTGCTGGGTAAGGTTGTGTCTTTTGGCTGCTACATTGTTTTTCAGGTATGTTCGTAATTAGTGGACCTTCTAATTTAGAGATTTAGCTCTAAATGAGAGTTAGTAACACTGTGTAGGATATTGGGAAGTGTTTGGAGATGCCAACAGGAAACTTATGTAACACAGTCCTCACAGCAGAGTTTAACACGTGCGTATTTGATTTGATGTGAAGATTAGAAAGTTAAAGCACATTGAGTTTCTCTGCCACATTAGAAATCGAAATAGCCCGTTCAGGGAGAGAGAGAGAGAGAGAGAGAGAGAGAGAGAGAGTGTGTGTGTGTGTATGAATGATTGGCTGTACAAATAGTTTTACATGCTTCCGTAAAGGTAGGCTTTCAGTTAGAAATATATTCTATTTGTTACAGATATTTGAAGGGAGGAAGTTTTGAAACTGGTGATCATTCATAGTAAAATGACATAAACTGTTTCGATCAGAGTGCGTTTCCTCCCCAACCCCACTATTACATAAGAGAAGGTAGCTGCATTACGTGTCTTATGTATGATGTAGAAGATTCTAACTTGGGGGGCGAAACATCCAGTTATCTGAATTCTTACCTGTACTGTCTTCGGAGGGAGATAGAGGAGCCACAGTGGATATGGAAAGCATGAGAGAAGGTAAGCAGAAAGTAGGAGCAGCTGGCGTTCATGGAGGGGGGGAAGGGCTGTTGCTGCATTTACAAGCTGAATAAACCAAATCTAATTATGTGAGTAGTTCTGACACAATTTGAATTTAAGGAAACTACTACCAAACTGAGTTCAATAAAAACTTTAACAATTGTATGACCTTGAGTATCTGGATTGTCTATATTAAGTCAGAATTGCAATTTTCTTTGTTTTCTATACAAATTGGGAAAGTAAATTTAACTTAAAACTTTAAAATTTAATTTTTAAAATCCAATTATTGCCAGTTTTCAAACTGAGTTATTTCCTTGCTGTTGACCAGGGGTTGATTTAAATAGAGAATTTTCATACCCTCAATGATGCCGATCATTTAAGTCCAGTGCCTCACCTTACTACTTTGAAATATTAAAGTATTTTGAGAATGCTCCATAAGCTAATTTTTTTTTTTTCTGTTCCAGTCAAGAGGTATGCCCATAATTTGCTTCATTTTAAAATGGACATTATTCCTTTGTTTTTAACTGGAAGATGAAGTAGAGGTTATTCTAGGGTTCTTCTAGGACTTAATCATTCATGGAATTGTATGTCACTTTGGGAAGTTGCCTTCACACCTTCAGTGTACTGGGAGATAATTACTTCCTCAATGTGTTAAATGGTTTTGTAGTGCTTTTCCTGCACTGAAGGGGGAAGAAGAATCTAATTCATGACACCAATAGACTGGATATGTTAGGAATATTAAGTAACTATTTCATGCCCAAAATGTAACTACAAATAGCTGCAAACAGAGAGAGACAGAGACAGACAAAGTAAAACTGGATGTAAGGCTTTGTGTACTTCCAGTTAGTGATGGTAACAGTTAGCAAGTTAGTTTGATGCCCAGCAGTGAAAAATAACAGACTTCTTCTAGGGTAAGGGCATCAGGCCCTAAGTCACAAACAGCAATAATTCACGTGCTTACTGGTTTCAGTTGAGAAGTTGTACAACATTCAAAAGTTGCTCCCACTGTCACTTCAATAATTCAGTGGAATTATCTTCATCTTTTGGAGGCTGTGTTACCATAACTAAATTGGGGATATTACATGATGGTGCTCTTCAGTTAAACTTAGAATGCTATAGACATTCCATTTGTCATTGGTCTGAGGAGGGTTTTTTTATTATAATTTAGATTTATTTGATAAATTTATTTATTAAAATAAATTTGATATACCAATATATTTGATATACCAATAAATGTTGGCTACATTGCTGATCATTTCATTATTCATAGTCTTGATAATATAGTTTATTATGACTCATATATAGTGATTCATTGCAGGTGATAAAATGTCATTAGAGATTGCACTGTACATTTTTAATACTATAAAATACATAAATTAAAATATGGAAGTGTCTGAATTATTTTAAATCATATCATTGTGAAGCATTTTTCATGAACTGAATAATGCCTGATGATTGGTTAGATGCCAATCCCTGTAGGCTGATATACAATATAGCCCTCACAAAGTCCAGAACTCACAAATAAAGGATGGGGAGGGAGAGGGTCAGGGGAACCAGTAACCCTTTTTTCATCAACAGCCAAGGCATGTTTAACTTTTATAGTTATTGTCTTATTCAGTATGAATTTAGTGAGTTACAAACATCCAAGGGTGTTTATTCTGCTCTTCCCTAATCTGGATCCCTGTGTCATCCCTGCCCGCCCCAACACACACATACCACTACCGCTACCAATGCATCTGTCTGCTTGGAGAGGCGGAAAAAGCCCCCTTTCAGGGACCACTTACATAGAATATAGAAGTTGGTGCCTAGTGTTCCAGGTTGAATTTAGAGCAGATGTGGGTTTTTGTCATAAAAATGATTATATTTTTATGAAAGTTACGTAAAATGTGAGGTTGAAGAGGGGCTATCAGAGTACCATGCAGGCTTTGGGGGCCTGGCCTGGAACTTAGAATATAATTTTTCATGGACACCCACAGCCCATTTACAAATAGATTTTTAAAACAGTGGGTAGGTGGTATCTGAAATTC